CATTAGAACACTTTTTAACTGCTCTGAGTCCCCACCTGAAGCATCCCAGTGGGTCATCCCCTACGAGAGAGTGAAGTTACAATGAGGGAGAATGCGCAGGAGAGGAACAGGGACTGGGGTGCCTGTGTGTTTACCAGGAACCTCTGGGGACACATGGGGTGGCAGGTCTTTCTGCCCTCCCCTTCTCTTCCCTTTACGTAGAACGAGGGGAGGGCGGCCTGCCTGAACAGGTGCTCACAATGCAGGAACTAATGTAACTGGTTTCCGCTGCTGTGTCCCGGTTAATGGGTGGACAGCTGCAGTGGGGGCATCTTTCCTCGGCAGAGGGTTTTGTTCAGGGCTTTGTTTGAGGGACGGGGGAGCCGATTCCCTTGACTTCGGCAGGAATTGGTCTCAAGGGAAGGGGTCAGGTCTGGTAGAGGAAGTGGCCGAGGAGGGGCCAGGAACAATGGGAAGTCCCCATGGCAGGCAACCTCTGATAGTTATAAGGGAGGTCCTAAGACCGGAAGTCTTGGAGGGCACCCCAACCCCATGAGCTCAGGGATCCCCAGTACTTCCAGCCTGTGGTTGGCACTGGTCTGAAACATACACATAAAGGAGAGAAGTGGGTGTGTATATAATAGCGTTTCTCTGTTCCTTGTTTTCTTTTTGTTTCCAGTAGAACTAGACATACCGATGGGGGTATTGACTGGAGCTCCGCATGTCAGAAGAGTGTGGGATGGAAGCCCAGGGTGACGGAATGGACAGTTTGGAGACGAAGTTCAGGAGGGCACGCCTGGAGGCTGGTGAGGTGTGTGCTCTTTGTGTTAAAAGGGAAGACTGACCTGGGAAGTTCATGGAAAGCACTTTGTTGTTGTTGTTATTTGTTTGTTTTAAAATAAATGTATTTTTATTGATTTCAGAGAGGAAAAGAGAGAAACATTAATGATGAGAATCACTGATCGGCTGCCTCCTGCACGCCCCACACTGGGGAATGAGCCTGCAACCCAGGCATGTGCCCTTGATCTGAATCGAACCTGGGACCCTTTAGTCTGCAGACCAACGCTCTATCCACTGAGCCATACTGGCCAGGGCTGAAGCACGTTTTGATATGCAGCATGGAGAAGAGCTATTGGAAGTGTTGCAGAAAGAGGGTGGAGCAAGCTCACATGCTTTACCTGGGGACTCAGTGATTGGTGAAAAGGAGGAAGTGACAGTGTGTTCTTCCAAAATGTCAAGGTATTAAGGAAGAGGCTGAGGAAATGTTCCAGGTGACAGGGGACCGAAGACCCAGGACCACTCAGTGCAATACCCAACCACCAATCAGATCCTGTTGAGGCAACAGAAGTAATAAAGGACAGCATTGAGTCAATGACAGAACTGGAATACAGATGATAGATTAGCTAAAACTGTTGTCTCAGTGTTAAATTTACTAAAGGGGTAACCAGGCTGCAGTTATGCAAGAGGTCCCTAATACTAATCAGTAACTAATAATTAATCCATTGTGTATTGGAGGGCTTAAGGGTAACAATAACACCCCATGCAAAATCCCTTTAATCTATCTTGTCTCCTTTTACATATAAAAATTAGTTTGCACAATTCATTGTTTATCATTCTTAAGCATCCTATTTCCAATATATCAAACCCAGTTAGTAAATATTTGTCTTCTGAGGAATGGAGAAAATATTTCCATGGAAAGGCCTCTGAGTAAAATAGCAGTTCTTCACTTTCCTTTTCTAGAACGTGCTGCTAAGGTTATTTGAACATAAACAGGATTTGACAAGACCGGAGTATTAGGCTCTTTCTCCATTTTGGGGGTGCGGTGTTGGAGGAGTAGGCTGTGCCTCGGGCGCCCCGTGGAGAACCTGTTTCCCCTCTGGTGAGGCGGCCCAGGGCCCAGCACCATCGCAGGCCAGGAGAACCAGGGTGGGAAACAGATTTCTCTGCACATCCAGGAAGCCAGGCTCTGCTGATCCACCAGACGCCTTTCCCCCCTCTCATTCAGCCTCCCGTCTCGGACCCCTGCCAAGGGTTCTTTTCTCTGACCTCCAGCTTTCTGTTCCCAAGCGTTCTGGTGACTTCATCCAGCGTGGGTGACAGGCCTTCAATAATCCCACCAACTCAATTAGATGATGTCATCCCTGGCTCCCGGGCCAGACCTGTAGCGGCCGCCCGCCTGCCCCCTGGGCCTGGGCCTGCTCAGCAGTTCGGCTGAAGGGCAGTGGGGCCCGCACTCAGGGGCCCCTTCCTCGCTGCCCACCCAGGAGAC